TTATAGAAATTGAAAGATGTCAAGGTAAGATATTTTAAAATTAAGAACTCATGAAAATAAACATACGTCTTTATTAAGAGTGACAGAGAGGAAAATGGAACCTAAAAGAGAATTTTGAATAATGTCCAATAATGGAAATAAAAATAAACCAGTAAAGAAATTTGTAAAAATCCAACTATACACAAATAGAATCAGAACCACAAACCATAATGTCTATGAATATAAAAATATTAGGTCAGAGTATGGAGCAAGATGGAGAACTAGAGACATCTCCTTAGCTGCCACTTGTGGTGAAACAGGGAAGAAAGGGCTCCAGCTATCTCTGACTGGAGAATCCTGCCAAGCAATATCACTCCAGGAGCACAGTGTAGTAGGGGACTCCAGGAGCCAACAAGGAGGTCAGGAGCTATGGAAAAGAGGCATAGAAGGTAAGTGCCTGGGCACTGGCAGAAAGCTAGAGACAGGAAATGCTGATCCTGCAGTTTTTTGTTTTTGCAGTTTTTGGCCAGGGCTGGATTTGAACCCACCACCTCTGGCATATGGGGCTGGCACCCTACTCCTTGAGCCACAGGCACCACCTAGTTTTTTGTATTTGAACTAGACTGGTTCCTGGAACTTCCTTGCAAGCTTTTAAGCCATGGACTGAACTTGAACAACATCCAGCAGTCAAGATTAAATCACTGAGTGCGGTAGACCTCCTATCGGCTTGGCTACTAGCAGGGTGCCACCACCATGGGCGGGCCACCCAAGAGAAACAGTCCACAGGGTCCTATTGCATGGCCAACTCTGGCACACCTGCTGAGCTCAGGCAGGCATCCTTGGGTGAGTTGAAAGCTCCCACACTCCCAGAAAGCCACATTGTGGCCGGGGGTATTGTTTGGAAGGTCAAGGCATGCCTCCTAAGAAATCTGGCACAAGCTTCAGGATCCCAATCCTTCAGACAATGAATGTTAGTGAAATAACCAAGCCATGATTGAGGACAAATAAATCAGGAAGACGGAACTGGGTATCCTTGGCCACTAGAGAAGGGCCTCTGGCACCCATCTCATATAGCAGAAGTGTGTGTTTTGCATATCCTAACACCACAGCACCACCCGGTGTCCAGGAAGTATATTGCAATATATTTTTTTTTGTTCTTTTTTCAATTTTTTTCTCTTACTTGTTTTTGTTGTTGTAATTATTGGGGTTTTTTGTTGGTTGATTGGTTTGGTTTGGTTTGATTTGGTTGTATTTTTATTTTTTTCATTTTTACTTTCTTCAATAGGAAGGGTTCAATATCAGCTATGGTTTTACAGCTCCCTTTATTCTTTCTTTTTTATTGTCTCCTTTTTTCCCTTTTCTGTTCATCCATCCTACAGAAATTTCTGATATAAAAACTAAGATATCCCATTTTTGATCTTATATAATTTTATTTTTAATTTCCTTTATCTCTTTTTATTATTTTTCTTTCATTGATCTGCTTTATTATATTTTATATTCTCTTTATGGGACAGAGCTTCCCTCTGAGGTCTTGATTAGGGTATCACAACATTGGTCTGGCTCAAGACTTCTTGGTCTAAGGGATCCTTCTAGCTTTAGTCTTTGGAAAGATGGTATGGTAGATTCCCACTGTGACATACTGCTGATTTAATTCTGTATTTGACAGAAATGCAGGTCTTGCTTTTGCCCAAGTTGATAAGGAGCTGCTGACGTTGAGAGATCCACCCAGCCCAACCCCCAGATTCCTGCAATTGTGGGTGTGGGTCAAAGTACCATGCCAAAAACCACCATTTCTTCTGTCTCTCTCTTTTCTCTGTCATTCTTCTCTCCTTTTCTTCAATTTCTCCCTTTCACCCTTCCTTTTTTTCGCTTCGTTTTTTCTATCCTTTATCCCTTCTCTCTCTTTACCCTTCTCTTCCTTTTGGCCCTATACCAAAAGGATACTTCAACACCTAAGCACAGCAACAAAGTAATTTAAAGTGAAGGGAGAAGTAACAGGAAAAAGAAGGGAAGGAAATGAACAAGAGGAAAACACTTGAGGAGAAACCAAAATAACAACTCTGGCACATGAAAACTCAGAATGGAGTAACACACACACCCCCAACCAAAGGGATCATGTGGTAGCTACTGCAAAAGATTCTGCCTATAAAGAAATAATGAAAATGAATGAAAGGGAATTTAAAATATGGTTAACAAAAAAAAAAAAATGAGAATAGAAGAGAAAGTAGAAAAAGATCAAAAGAAAATTCAAAAACAACCAAATAATGGATGCAAGATATGAAGAATTTAGAAAGGATATAACAGAGCTTAAGGAATTGAAGGAGGCAATCATGGAATTTAAAGATGCAGTAGAAAGCATCAATAACAGGTTAAACCATGGAGAAGAAATAATCTCAGAGCTAGAGGATAAAGCTCTTACACTAACCCAAGCATTTGAAGAGACAGAAAAGAAAAGAAAAACAGCACAGTAATCACTTAGAGAACTCTGGAAGATCACAAAGCCTTCAAACATGCAAATTATATGTGTCCCTGAAGGTGAAAAAGAATAACCCAAAGGACTGGAAATCCTACTGGAGGATATCATAAATAAAAACCTCCCAAACATCAACAAAGATTGTAACACACTCCATTTGGGGGGATATCAAACCCCAGGTAGTCTCAATATAGAGCATCTCCAAGACACACTATAATGAACCTGTCCAAAGTGAAGACAAAAAGAAAATTCGGAATGCAGCCAGGAGTAAACCCCAATTGACCTACAGGACCAGATCTGTCAGGTAACAGCAGACTTCTCAGCTAAAATGTTCCAATCTGTATCCTGCTAAACTAAGCTTCAAATTCAAAGGAGAAACCAAATTTTTTTGCTGTCATGCAAACAATGAAGAAATCTAACACGAGAACAAACCATATAGAAAATACTTATTCTACACACTGACCATCACAATGAATTAACAGCAAAGTAAACACTCAGAAACTGAAGGACATAACTTAGCTTCCACAATGGCACAAAGAATAAAACTAAGCAACAGACTTTCACAAAATAAGATGAATAGAACTCTACCACATATATCAATTCTCAATAAATGTACATAGCTTAAATTCCCAAATGAACAGGCACAGGCTGCCTGATTAGATAAACAAGCACAAGGGATCTACATGCTTTCTATAGGAAACACACTTAACCTTGAAAGACAAAAGAAGATTCAGGGTGAAGGGTTGGAAAACAGTATTTCAAGAAAATGGACATCAGAAGAAAGGAGGGGTCACAATCTTATTTTCAGATACAAGTGAATCTAAAGCAACTAAAGTTAAGAAAGACAAAGATGATCACTTCATGTTTGTCAAGGGAACGATACAACAAAAGGACATTTAAATTCTAAATATTTATGCACCCAACTTAAATGCTCCCAGATTTATGAAACAGAACTTAATTAGTCTGAGCAATTGATATCCTATAAAACCATAACAGGCTGAGAACTTTAACACCCTTCTAACAGAACTGGACAGAGATCCTCTAAACAGAAACTGAACAAAGATACAAGGAACTTAAATGTGACACTAGATTAAATGGGCTTAATAGACATATACAGAACACACCATCCCAAAGCTAAGGAATTATGTGTTCTTCTCATCAGGCCACAGAACATACTCCAAAATATATCATATCCTAGGACACAATCAAACCTCAACAAAACTGAAAGGATTGAAATTATACCTTGTATTTTCTCAGACTACAAGGCAATAAAGGTGGAACACAACTCCAACAAAAATTTTCATCCCCACACAAAGGTATGAAAATCTAACAATCTTATGCTAAATGACAGTTCGATCAAGAAAGGGATAAAGGATGAAATTATTAAATTCCCAAATATAGTAACAATGAAGCTACAAGCTACCAAAATCTGTGGGATACTGCGAAAGCAGCCCTAAGAGGGAAATTTATTGAACACATCAACAACCTAATGAATCATCTAAAGGAAATGGAAAAGAAAGAGCAATCCAATCCCAAACATAGCAGAAGAAATAACCAAAATTAAATCAGGAATAAATGAATTAAAAACAAAAGAATCAGTCAGAAAATTAGTGAAACAAAAAGTTGGTTCCTT